TATACTTACATCTGGAAGCAACTAGCCATGTGTTGATAACATAAATCATTTAGCTTAATGCTTTGGGAGGTAACGTTCCAAGTGGGCGATGAAATGAACTGCCGTCAACAAGTTGTTTCTAGCCCTAATACTTTGGATACCACATCCTTTATCAACTGCGTGAAGTACTCCACTTCGTACAGAAAACCCCGTGAAAGGCGTAGCAAGAAAAGGCAAACTTAAGTGCTGAGTGGCACGCTAATTTGTAAGGCTGAATGAGGCGTCAGATTGAAATAAGATATTGCAGCAAGCACATTTCCTGGAATACAAATGCTACGATAGGAATCAAGAAATATCCGGATGTAAGGCAGACATGAACTGAGCACCAAGCCTAATACTCTCATGCTTCTGAGTATGGCTGCAGGCCCCGTGCAGTAAATTCATCCGCAAAGAGCGTCTGTTGGTCTATTCACCAACATCAAGTAACACGGCGAGTTGAATAAAGGTAGGAATTCCTATAATCGTCGTCAACTTAACCTCATCGAGAGCACAATCCAGTTCCCGCTGAATGGTCGCGGACGCACCGTCCCATCTTGGCAGCTTTCCGCCCGCACGTGACCGTCGTATCTTCGGAAATCGTTTCGCGAGAAAATGGCGAGAGTTACGGATACTAACCAAAATCATCCCAGAATCCACAACAGCACCTTTCCCCCCGGAATCGCAACCGTGGCCAAGGGGGAATCAAACGAAAGAAACAAAAAGCTCTTGCGACCTCGTGGCGGGACAATCCGCTTTCTCCTCCTCCGCCCCGTCTGCCCAGTGGAGAAAAAAAGCAGGTCGACCGTCGGCAGGTCGGTCGACTCGGCCCTACCCACGACGTCGAGAGGACCAAGTCCACAATGGCCCCGAGATGACAGACCACTTTCCAGTTTGCATCCCGAGGGGTCGGCTGCTCCGGGCTTTGGCCGATGTTTAGTCCTTTGGACACTTTTTGGCGTTTTCTTCCGGTTTTCGCTACCTTTTTTTTTTTTCGACAATTTTTCGCCGGGCACTTCTTGGCGCTTTGTGTTTGGGCATTTACTATTCGTCTTTGGCTCTCCTGACGAACAAGCTGTCTGTCTGTCTCATTTCGCATCTCATGCCCTAATGGAATCGATCAGCGTCTGCCGGATACCACGTCGTCAGCCCTAGATAGCAATCATAGCATGAAAGACGAAGGGGGGTCTTTGCGGGCGCAGAAACGTTGAGCAGAAGTTCTCTCTCGACCATTGAGACGGGCTTGACTGCTGGTGACTGTTTCGCCGTTCCCTTCAGCTTTCATTTGATTCATGTTCAAAAGGTGTCCAAACAAAACCCAGAGAAGCAAGTGCAACCCCCCCCCCCCCACCCCCTCAACAAGCGTCTCGCGTCTTGCGTTGCTGCCAAAGCGTGTGAGCGTCAGCGGACCGAAAAGAGGTGCGTGGAGACTTTTTGGAGACAGGTCCTCCACATTTCCCCCGAGTGGGAGCCCGGACGAACTCCCCTTTTCACGCAAGGCGGGAGGATGATCGATTTCGTCCAACGGGGGTCATCGCTATCGCAACCCCCTGCAGCAAGAGAGACTTGCAGGCTCGCAGCGTGGCAGCGTATGTAATCGTCGTCCCATCGGTTCCAAATGCCGAAAGAAGGATTCCCAAGGAAGGACTCGAAGGAGGGCTGGGCGTCAGCCTTTGGCTCCTTGCCAAGCAATGGTCTGCAAGTCTAGGCATCATTGTTGTTGTTGCTGCTGGCTGCTGGTTGCTCTTTCTTCTTCCACTTCTCTCTGTCTGTCTGTCACTCTCGCACGCTTTGCATATCGCTGTATCGACTGTCTTTCCAATGGTCCGAAGAGCAGCCGTGAAGCAGCAAAGCTTGCTGCGGAAATACGACGTAGGTCGAGTTTTCCCCAAGGGTTAAATTTGGATCTTTTTGCCGTCATGGCTCATGGGAAGCTTTTCAGTGCGACCTTTTTCCCGTTCCAAGGTTACCCGTGTCGTTGGGTCCACTACTGTATCGGCTACAGCCACATCTTAAAATCAGCATTTTGCTGCAGGACTAGGGAAACACGCTGTCTGTCTGTCAGTGTCAGTGTTTGTTGGGCTCCGATTCCCCCAGGCTCGGCTTGAGTGTAGCATTTTGGATGTAGTAGCGTGCTCCATACACTAAGAAGTCTGAGTATCTGAGAAAGTGGGAGAGTTGCACTCCGTAGAAAGAGGCGTAAGACTCGAGGACAAGCGCCCGCTGCCCACCCGCCCCTGTCCGGGGAACGCCCGAGGCCTTCATCCCGGCTTTTTAACCAACTCCTTCCATATTATCCCCTCCACGTCCCCATCGCAGGAGCTGAGCTCTGCCAGTGCCCGCTCTTTGGGACTTTGCTCAGTCTAAGAAAAAAGCACAGTTGAAAAAGCAGGAAGCAACCTTCATTGGAGCGTTTATATCCAAGAGCAAGCTTTGGGAACTTGGCAAGGACGACCTTTCTTCAAGACTCGACGACCCTGGGAAAAGAGACTGGGCAAAGACGACCAACAACAGCACACCATCTCCAGACTCCACGTTACATCCCCTTTTTCTTACGGATTCATTGCTTCCAGGGAACCCGGCTACCACTCTTACGCCTGCGAAGACTACCGGTCCTCAATTCCTTGGCTCCCCCACGTATCTTTACCTGACGGACGGTTTTCCAAATCTGGGTTTTCCCATTTTCCCGTCGCCTCATCTGCATTAATCCAGGCTTATCCTTTTTCAATTTCGTTTCTGCCTACCTACGGATATAGGCGACGGATACACCAAAGTGAGGGACCGCCGAGCGAGAAACGACTGTCTTTCTGCCCTACCGTAGCTCCCATACCCTACCTTTTTCCCCCTCCCCAACGTCGCCTGGGAAGACGAAAGAAGGGCCTCGAGGACCTGCAGAGACGGGACGTACCTCGAATCCTACACGCGGGCCCCTGCATGCGCCAGCAGCTGTGAGGTGCTTCTTTTGGTCGGACGGGAAGAAACACCACGGACATCCAACACGAAATACATCTAGAAGAAGCCAGGAACGGGCGATACCCAAGGACGACTTTTGCTTTATTCCCCCAATCTTTCAAACGGATCCCCGCCGCCCGCCGCGCGGCGGGCCTGCAATGTCAAGATGGAGGAGGAGAAGCACAAGTTCATCATCCCGATCCACGAACGGCGTCAACCCGGGACCGTAACCGTCGACCCGAATTCTGTACCGTCACAACCCCAGCACCAACCACCAACACCGCTACCAAGCCATGAGGCTCAATCGCCCATAGATTCCTCCCCCAGGATACAGCAGATCGAGTCCTTCACATCCTACCCGCCGGGCGCCCACCTCCGAGGGGACGACATACCCGACGCCTCGCCGCCCTACCCAGAGTCGCGAATCAGCTCCGAGGCGCCGGTTGTCACTCCGGCGCCTGTGCCCGCACGAGGACAAAGCCACCACCACCACCGCGTCCCGGCGCCTGCTCTGGCGCCAGCCGACCCCGAACGGCAACAGGGCGGCACCCTGGCGGCATGGAGGCAGAGGTTTGATGGTATCGGCGGGAGGGGGCCACAGCAGCACCCAAGAAAGACAATCTTGGGCCTGACCGTGCTACGCTTCTGGGCCGCAGTCGCCCTGGGAGTCATCATCGTCGGCGTCGCCATCGCCGTGGGTCTGGCGTTGGGTTTGGCTAACCGGTACGTCTGACGAACGAGCTTACTATCTACCTACCTTACCTACCTACCCATTCCTCCTGTCAACTCTTTGTCTCTCTTCCTCCCCCGTCTTCGTCATGACAGCCTCGAAGGCTGACGGAAAGCGTCCTCCTTTTTGCGATATCCAGCCCCTCCGACGACGAAAACGAACCAAAAGCTGTAATCCAACAGCTCGGCGTCCCTTCGCCCGCCCCGATCAACCCGTACTGCCCGCTAGCTACTGCGGGCGTCAACACGACGGTAACCCCCTACGACGCCTCCGGCTCCCCTATCCGCTTCAACAACGACGAGGTCATGTCCTTCGACGTCCTCTGCAACACGTACTACCCGATGCGCCAGGGGATCAACCCGTACCTCCGCGATATCCTTGTCATGACTGTCCCAGACATGCTCACCTGCATGACGCTCTGCGCTCAGTACAACCAGGGCTACAGCGACGCCGTCGGCGACGATGTGTTCCTGGACGGCGGCGGCATTTGCGTCGGTGTCGCGCTCGTCAAGGGCACAGCGCAGTTCTGTCACTTGCAGAACGCCACGGGGATCAACCAGACCACCGCATCTGGCGGATTCGACGTCGATAGCGCCGTGCTTTCGGGCCAATGGGCCAGCCTGACGAGCGTGGAGCAGATTCGAACGTTTGGCGGGAATATTGACGATGTCATTGGCGCCAACGCGACTACGACTGCGGCCACGACAACCACGACCGGTTGATCCAATGGCGACCCGATTTCCTGGTCGAATATTGGACCGATTTTCATGTCAATAATTCATTCCCGTGTAATGAAACGAGGGATTCTATGTTTTTGGTCGAAGCGATTTGGAGTATTTATCGACTCTCCTCAGCACCTGGAACCGTTGATCTAGAGTCAATGCCATGATCTCTTGGTCTGACTTTTGGTCCTGGCGCGATCTTAGTCTTTGAGGGAGGTGTTTTTGTGATAAGATACAGCGATGACATTGGCGAAGCGTTGTGTTGGATATATTCGAGCGAACTTGGAGCGAATTTGGGGACGCATGTGACGAGGGAGCTCCCGAGTCTGCGTTATCTTGGTCTACGAGATGGGAGGCTTCCGGAAGGTACGGAGAGCCTCCGATTTCACACCATGGCAGCTCGAGGAGAAGGGATGTCTGTCCACGTACGAGACATAGTTGGATAAGCTCATTAGTAGTGTCCAGCATTTTGGACGAATGTGTCTGGTGTGCTGCAGACATATGCAAGAGGCACCAGGCGCAGACTATAGATGACGCTGCCAGCATAAGAAACGATCAATGGGAACTGCATACATCATGAAAAAGTCACTGTGTATCGATTCTCTCATAAAACGTACAACAATTTTATACCCTCAAAAGAGAACCATGTCCAAAACTCCGCCTTGAAGACCGTCTCTTTGTGGCCCTTACACGCTGTCTACTACAAATACTTCTGCTAGCACTACGTTTCCCGCTTCAGTGGCCTCGTGTCCGCTCAGCGCTAGACAGCCTTCTTCGAGGCGTCAGTGTGTGAAGCCGAGCCCTCACGGGACGCGGCTAGTCGAGGAATGCAGATATTCAGACCGCCAGGTTCGGGCAACGGGACAGGTATGTGACCCGAGGGCTAGTTGCGCCACTCAGAACCGTTGTCGATGCCGGCGGGTGTGCCATTGCTTCCGGACGCCTTGTTCGTATCGTCATCATCATCGTCATCCAGAACACGGGCGAGCTCGTCGGGATCCTGCATCTTGGCATCGGGGTCAATGACGCCCTCCTCGAGCTCTTCATCCCGGCGCTGGTTGTCCCGGTCGGTATCCAGAACACCCTCATCTGCGCTGACTGAGATGCCGCGGGCACCCCACTTGGGTCGTCCACCACCGCGGCGGCCCTGGCCATCGTCGTCGCCGAGAGCAGGGGCGCTCTCCTCGTCGTCAGAGTGGGCATCAATGCGCTTTCCAAAGATTCTGTTGAGCAACCAGCCTCTACGCAGGTCGTCGGCATCAACAATGCCACCGTTGCGGAGCTTGACACGCTGGCGAGTGTAGTATACCCAGGCGAAGTCGACATACAGCGCCGTCTGGATAATGCCGAAGATGACGGAGACCGTGTTTGGCGCCTTGTCGTTGATATCGAGCTCGCGCGTGATCCATCCGATCAGGTATAATCCACGGTACGAGCCAAGGGTGACGAGGTAGAAGGAGTCGATGACGGTCGGAACGGTGGTCTGGCGAAGCAGGAGCAGCTGAGGCAGGACGCAGATGGATTCAAGGATTTGGCTAAAGTCCCAAAGCCACTGTTGGTATAACGTTAGCAGCTGTATGGCGAGCGTTGACCAGAAATTCGTGCGAGGGTTTGACTTACGACGCGGAAGCTCCAGTAGCTCTCAAAGATTAGCATGGCAAAGGGAGACAAGACGAGTGAGAGGCCGAAGACGCCGGCGCCGACCTTCCACGAGAGCTCGCGCTCCCTGGTGCGGGGGAAGATCCACTGCATGGCACCGATGATGTAGAAGGATGAGGAAATGTAGAATATCTTGAAGATGAAGTTCCATGCTGATTGTTCGGAGAAGATGTCGAGGTAGCGCGTGCAGAAGACTAAGGCGTACAGACCCTGGGTGATGAGGGAGACACCTGCGCAGAACCATCAGTCAACAGGCATTCATGATATAAAATCGGGCAGCGTACCTTCAGCACTCCTGTTGCGATGTATCGCAATCATCAGGATGCATTTCGAGAGGAGATGGGAGATGTCTCCCATGAAACGGAATACCTGGCCAGCTAGTTAGCGGACTGCCTCGGGAATCACGTATCTAGGTCGACGCAGCACGTACGTTCCACGCAGTCATGGTGCCGGATGGGAAGTCGAGCTTCCAGCGTATTCCGATATGTAGAGATGTTGTGTTGTGTTTGGTGGGAGGGACTCGGGGAATGCGATTGCGACACGCAAACAAGAACGGACGGGGAAAGGGAACGGCAGCTCCGTTTCACATCACACGAAGGCCGGCGAGCTGCCCACGGCGGAAGGGGGAGAGAATAGAAATCGGATGAAGCTCCGATGGAGAGGCCGGATCCGTTTGAAACGAAGCTCGGCGATGGAATGGTGCGGAGGTATAACAAGCTGAGGAATGAAGTTATTTCCAAAGTTGAAAGTGCGGGAAGGTTACGAAGCTCAATGTGCCCTCCTGCCAGTTTCCAGATTCAGCTCTTACGCCGCGCGGGCAGTCACGCAGTTGCGCCCCCAGCTGCACCTGCACCAGCTGGCCTTATCAGCTCGAGCCTGAGCCTTATCCGTGCTGGGGGAAGGTGACGACAGCCCCAGGCCCCCAGCCACGTTATCCTGCCAGGAAGCGTTGCTATTGGCTCGTATTTGGCAGGGTCGCTTATGTAACCCCCACCTTGAGGGATAGCGCCATTGAAGAAAGGGTGGATATTGCCCCGACATTACCTGCGCTGCTGCGCGTATTGTAAAGGCCATGCCCAATTGAGAAATGCATCTTCAGGCGGGGGGCATGAGCAAGGTAGGAGATGCTGCTTATTGACCGAACCTGGCTGCATATGGCCCAAGAGCTGTTTGTTTGACGATTTGGGTGGCCTTCCTCAGAACGTTTCGGTCGTCCTCAAAGGTCAGTCTCTGAACAGCTTCATCAAGACTAAAGAAGCTCGCACTAAACTGAGCCTCCCCACCCGCCGCCTCTACCGCAGTTCCCTCCTCGAGAGTTGCAACATACCACCAGATGAGTTTCACTCCAGACCCTCCATCAACGTCTCGCATCGTCAGCATAAACGGCTCCGTGAGTCCTCGACGCGCGGCTGCTTGATCTGGGGCATTCGCATCGTCATCCGGTGCTGGCGCCCGCGTGGCCATATCAACAGGCAGAAGTCGGCAGCGGAAGCCCGTCTCCTCATGTACCTCCCGCAAGGCTGCCTCGTGCCTCGACTCGCCGTAATTGCGTCTACCCTTGGCCAGGAGCCATTCGTCTGTGGATAGGTAATGGAGCAGGCAGACCCTTGCCGGGTCTTTGGACAAGTCGAAGGGGATTGCGCCGCAGCTCTCGACAAAAGCTTCAGAGGCGTACTGCCTGGTGACATAGTTGGAGGCTGCCATTTTGGGCCTGCCTTACCCGCTGGCTTGGGTCGGTCTACATGGTAGCGCGAGCGGAGTCCTCTTCCCAAGTTCCCGCAGAGTCGATCTCATGGGCATCTAGCAGGATGGTGTTGTATTGCAGAGTCGTCAGTGCACAGGCTCGGCGCTGTTGTTTTTGGCGGGGACCCTTGTCTCGCTTGCTTCCGCGCCGGTCTACGGATATTCGTGCAAAGACTGGCCGGCCGTGCTTTCTTAGGCCGACCGGGTTGCGTAGGTGTTCACGGCGCTAGTCATCGACGGACCGGCCGCGAAGGCCAAGGTTCCAACCATTTAATTCAATTGTCAAATCAGAAGCTACGATGATGAGACTGGGTAAGGTGCTACGAGACGAGAGGTCGACGATCGCATCTGCTCCACACCATGTGCTGTGCACTCAGTGTGTCAGTACCGCAACTTCGGTAAGGCTTGAGGTGACTTTGAGCATGAACTCTGATATTACCATCTTTTGAACTCGGTGCAACCGACGTTATTTTTCTCTAGATGTCGTCCCAGGCTATAACGTATCTCGGGAACTAGTGTGCCATCTATCTCTACTGACAAGCTTAATTCCTGAAATTTAGTCTTTTCTACCATCATCTATATCCACGAGGCCGGCTGTACTCGTATCTTTACTTCGCGGCCAAGTCAGGATGTCGAGCCCGGACAGCGTATAATGCCTTAGAATAGGTAGTAGGATCTCATTCTCGAGCCTTCAACAAAATTTCATGATTCGGAGCGGCCATAACACTACCGAGATCCCACCTGTCGTCTGTCATGATGGAATGAAATGCAATGACCTAAGACCAGGCCACGCATCATACCGCGTTGAATGACACTCTGCAATCACAAACAAGCCAAACGGCTTCCGGCGACGATGAGACAACAAACGCGGCCACCCGAGCGCAAAAACACAAAGCTCCATCCCGTCCCTTGTACAATTTCCAGCGGTCCCCCAAATGAGCCAAAATGGGACAAAGATCGAAGCCAAAAAGGAACCGGAGCAGCATCCCCGTTGGGCCCGCTTGAGCCTCATTAGAATTCCACAGCATTGCGCCGCGCGCAGCAAAAAAATAATAATTGAGAAAGACGTCGTAAGCACATTGTTAACGCTGCGTGGAGTCGGCTCCCCCCTCGGGATGTGGGCGGCAGTCAGGTAGGCATCACCCATAGCACCATAGCACCATGGGTATTCCCATTCCAAAAAAGCAACCCAACGTATGCAAGGGCCACCCAATGCCGGTCCGCCCGCGATATCTTTAGTGCGGGAAGAGGTGCGGGACACACGGCAGCGCCAAACGGCACCGCGGGAGAAATGGGGGGATGATATGACGCGGCCCAGCCGAAAAAAAGCACCAACAGAGACACACTACGGACCTACACCGTCACGTCAAAGGAAACCCAACATCCCACACCCATGCCTGGGCCCTGGGTGAGCATTTTCGGCCCCTTCTCTAAGGCGGCGCAAGCTCACCCCGGGCCATCAATGGCGGATAAGTCGGCCCACCAAACGCTCATCACTGATGCTCCCGTCTGCTCTGCTGTTGCCCGTAGGACAGCCAGGGCTTGCTGTGTTGGTCCGGCCGTTCGTGCGGTTGTCGCAGTGCCGGCGCGTACGTACTTGTAAGTACATGTGGGGTGAGCTGGGATTGGAAGGGAACATGGGTTTTTGACAGAGTCACTGCCGCAATACCCCCCGCGCGCCGTTGGGGGCTTGCAACTTGCGTTCAAATCCGGAGGAGGCTAAGCTTGTTGATCACATCAGGTTTTCGGGGGGTCTTACGCGTGCTTTTTTCCCTTTGCTAAACCTGTTGGTTAACTGAACACACCCCCGGTCTGGCGCCTTCGCCGCCCCTCTCTCTCTCTCTCACCCCGTCCTGTCGATGGATGGGTAACCGGGAGCACGCATCGGGTTCTTCGGCGGATTGGGTCGTACGTACACTACTGTGTACATACACTACGGGATGATGGGGGGAAGATGGGAAGGAATGCATATGCGAATCTCCATGGTATAGGTAGAGGTAGATAAAACCAGTGCAGTTCCCTCCCCCCCTTCTCCCCTTGAGCTGCCCCTCTGTTGGAAGAAGTAATTGGTGTATCTGTCGAGCTTTGCTGTATCAAAGTTTTCCTTGGCTTGCACCTGTACGTCTTTCGACTTTCCACAACCTCGCCGCAAAAACGGAATCTCTCAAACCGCAGGAATTGGGGTGGAAGAAGGAACCAAGCGCTCTTGCTCCCTGTTCAAGCTTGTCTGCTTATCGCCGCACCGCACCGCACCTCTCGATGACGTTTTGCCCAGACGAACGGGAAGTGAGAAGGAATTAAACGACCGCAACTTCCGGAGCTTCAAAGACTCATATTTCTCAAAAAATACCACACAGAGCCAAAGTCGCACAAAGTTTGGAGCTTCAAATCGTCGATATCAGTCACAGTTAAACGGCGGAAAATCCAGCCAAAATGCAAATCGGACGCCTCCTTTCGACGATCGTCGTTGGTCTCACCATCGCGCAAGCCACACCGATCCAAGACAAGACTTCAGCCTCAACCCCTGATGTGGAAGAGCGCAAGGAATCGCGGGGCAAGGCACCCAAGTACTTTCAGGAATCAGAGTAAGTCATCGGGTGCTTCTCATACGAATTCTCATGCCTTTTTCTTCAATAGCTTTGTGACGATGAGATTTGGGATGAGATGAAATGAAAGAAGCGACCAAGGGTCTTCCCGAAACTCTAATAAACCATCCCATGAAGATCACCAACACGAACACCAACACCTTCATCACGACCTAATACCTTATTCTCAACGGTATAACTAACACCCACACCAGCTTCTCAATCCACTACGACGCCCGCTTCGCCACAAAACCCCTCAACGAAACAGCCCAGCGCGAAGCCGTCCAGGTCCTGATCCAGACCTACCTCGCCACCCTCCGCGACCTCGGCGTCCAGACCTGGCTCATGCACGGCTCCCTCCTGGGCTGGTGGTGGAACAAGCAGACGCTCCCCTGGGACTCGGACGCCGACGTCCAAGTCACCGAGAACGGCATCAACTTCCTCGCCGCCTACTACAACATGACGACCTGGTACTACAAGTACCCGTCCGTCCCGCAGGGCCGCTACTTCCAGCTCGAGGTGAACCCCAACTACGTCCGCCGGGGGCAGGACAGCTTTGACGAGGACAACGTCATTGACGCCCGCTGGATCGACATGGATAATGGCCTGTTTATCGACATCACTGCCGTTCGCTATGTCGAGGATCACCCCGAGGGCGACGGCGTGTTGGCGACCAAGAATGGCCACGAGTTCCGCGATACGTTCCTGTATCCCTTGCTTGATACCACTTTTGAGGGTGTCAAGGCCAAGATCCCTTACAAGTACAAGGAGATGCTCATCTCCGAGTACGGAGAGAAGGCTTTGACAAACCAAGAGTTCATGAAGTAAGTCCTCATAATCTCCAATGCACCCGCTGAATACTAACGTTGCTCTTTAGCCATAAGTTTGTTGACAGCAAGATGGAATGGGTTCCCACCGATGAACTCTGAGGCATGAAGCGTAGGTGATTGTACGAGTTTCACGGATAGGTGTAAGGGCTCAGGCGTTGGTCTCAGACTTTCGGACAAGGTGTCCGCCATTAAAACTGATCGGTCTTTGTTTGTGGCGTTAGGGAATACCCAAAGCTCTGATTTCAATAAGAAAAATGCCAATTATTCGCTCCAAGCCAAACCTCTTTATGTATACTCGCTGTCCATATCAACCTGCTCTTCGTGTCTCCAACCTAGTCCTCGTCATGATTCTCGACCACGACCTTCGCGATAGCACCGCCGCTCTCCACCATGCTGATCTTCCTGATATCGGGAATGTTAAAATTTTCGTGCCTCTCCTTCGTTTCCGGAGCGCTGCTCCGAGTACAGTCATCCACGATTCGCTTCAAATTAACTTGTAGAGCGTTCAGATGGACAACCAGGGGGCATTTTGAACCGCCGCTACAATTATGCGGGTTGTCGCTCGCCAATGTTTTGACGCGCTGAGCAATTGTCCAGAGCGTGGTGTTTTCCTGTCTCCAAACATCAATGGGCCACAATGTCTGGAGCGCGAGGAGCTTGAAGTACTCGCCGACTCGAGAGTTTCTTGTACAGACATCATCGTACAGTGTTCCGTTGCGACAAAGGTGGCATACCTTGGCGTTAGACGGGTGTCGTCGTCCGCAGCTGAGACAGAGCCGTTTGGTGGTGATATATCCTTCACCGCGGGTGTCTAGGAGGCTCTTGAAGGACCAAATGTGCGAGAAAGCTCGTACCACTCGGTCGTTGATATCAACCTGGAGCCCACCTAAAGTTGGATCGTATTAGCTGAATGTATTCGACACATACTAGCTTCTATCGAGATGCTATGGCGCGGAAAATCGCAGAAAAGGGGAAGAGATGATGGGGACCAGCAAAAGTATAGCTCTCTTGCTCTTACCGAGAGATTTGCACTTATGTAGAGTTATGAGCGGTGGGTTTTGGGCCCAGACTTCCCGGAAAGATATCGGAAGATTGCGAATAGCATACTGCCTCAGCTTCACGAGTTCGTCTTTGGCCCCAAAGTTATCCGCTGACTTCAAAAGCATTCCAAGCGCCACAACGGGTGGCTGTTCCTTGTCGGTAATGGCCCGGATGGCTTTTTGGCACCAGATGCCAATCCGCGGTGCGAGCGCGTTGTTGCACTTCAAGACAAGGTTGGCTTCCGAGACTCGAAGCAGCTCTCCGACTTCGAGCTCATTGTATTGATCAATATTGGCGTGGTGCATGATCGAAAGTATGCAGCGGAGGGCTTGCCCGTCAATTCCCGATGACCCAGGGGCGAGGAAGATGCAGAAGGCCTTGCAGCCATCCTTGACGGTGAACGCTGCATCGATCCACTTCGCAAATGCTGTCGAAATAACCCGACAGATCTGGGAGGAAACACGGAAGCCACCGAGCATTATGTGCTGAGAGTCGACGAGAATTACGTATAAGTCTCCGTCGGGAAAGATGGTTTCGGACTGACCAATGAAGCGCTCCAGAAAACCAGGAGCCTCCATTTGCGGCGATTGCTGGATATCCAGGGACTGAGGAACGCCCCCCAAAGGCTGTCCTTCGTGGAGCTGATGCTGCCCAAAGTCTGTCTGGGATTCTATCCCGGTCGATTGCGTGTCATCGGCCATCTTCTCAGATGGGTGATTTTCGCCGTCCATAGCAATACGTATAAGCGATAACTTCGTGGTAGTTTTAATGAATTATCAAAGCAGCGCAGGCCAGCAGATGGGGGTGGGATCGACGAGATGTGGCAGAGAGAATGGAGCGGTGAAGAAGGAAGTTGAAATAAAAAGTTTGGGTATTATCTGCGAAGCCTCTAGAAGAGTAGTTGCTCTGTCTCTTGCTTCCCGCTAGGATATTTATCCTGAAGGCAACTAACTGTCAGCACGATAGCGCTTGAATGAGGGTAAGACCTGCCTCGCGATACCAAGAGGAAGAGCCACCACCCGAGTCCTGAATGACAACGGGCAAGGCAGTGTACTTCGTTGACTCGCAAAATTTGTTTGGAAACTGGAACATGGCAGAAAGCTTTGAAAGTATCCGTTGATGCCTCTTGTGCTAGTTTGCCTGCTTATTCCAGCGCAAAAGTGTCAAACGGTTCTATAAACAGTTCGAGCACCTTAGAAGGTTGGGGGATTGACATCGATACCAAAGACCTTGCTGAGTGGAAACCTATGAAAGGGGCTTCTTGAACTGATCTGGAAAGATGATCTGATATCAAAATGCTCTTGTTGCCCAATTAACGCCATGTCCTGAAAGCCAAATTCACCAACTAACCCAATTCCCATTTGAGATTCGCCAAAACCACCTGCCCGCTCTACTTTGCTTCGCACTTCAACTCCTTGCTGGGCTCGTCCACGCCGTCAACCTTGACTGCATCATCGTCAATGGTAGAAAGCTTTAGCTTCCAGCCCCGGATGCCATTAATCACCTCGACCACGTTATCGTCAAGCTCACCCAATCGCTTCTTCAAGGGGCACCTCTGGTCAAAGTCACACCGGTGGGTGCTCGTTCCCCTGATCTTGATGAAGCGGCGGGCGATGTCAGCGATGGTGCCCTCATGCCATGCCTTCTCGTTCGGGTACAGCTGGTACTTTGTGAACATGAGCGTACACTCAGCTACTCGTGTCTCGGGAGAACAGACGACTGGGAAGTCGCCCACTTCAGAATGCTGGCCACTGGTAGGTGGGCAGTTTGGGCAATGCGTGTTCTGATTTCTCTTGTAGATGCGAAGACACTTGCTGCAGCGGGAGGTATCCATCAGACCAATCTCGGATTGATTCCGTCCAAGGTCGATGATGGTTTCCTGCAAGAGAGCGTACAGACGTCGCTTGACTGATTTCATCTTGCGAACGATGTTGCCTATGGCGTGTTAGCAAAAGTGTCTCTCGATATTCATCCTAGCAAACTCACGAATGATATTGTCCAGTAAGGCAGACACAAACTCGTCATCGGACCAAGCGTTGAAGTCAAAGTTCATTGGAAGATACAAGATAGCAGATCTTGTCATCTTCTGGAACTTTGCCGACTCGCCGAGGAGCGCAGTCGCTGCCAAGAGGTAGATAACGTCCCCATGTTCCACCTGTCCAAAGTTGACGAGCCAGTGATTCACCCACAGTCTGAGAGACGCAGAACAGTCGTACTTGTCCAAGTGTACGGCCATGACTGCAATCATCTTGGCACTAAGGTTGTACCACTCGTCTTGGTGCCTGTAGTGTAGAATGGAGAGGATGATCTCCATGGCTTCGGGGTCGTCATGGCGCAAGATGATATCGGGCTTCAAATCGGGTTGAGTCTTGGCGCCTTCCTCAAGCTTAGAGACAAGAAGAGAGTTGAAGGATCTGGATGCGACTCTCAGAATATGAGAAGAGACGAGGAACTTCTTCTGGGTGTTGTGAGCGACAATGAGAGCAACGTCCCAGGAGGGGTGAAGCTCAACGATGGATTCATCTGCCATCTCAACGTCAGCCATCTTGGGACAGTTCCGCTGATAGATGGTGTTTCTTAGAGATTTGAGTGGTGTAGATGTGATTTAGACGATGACGACATGGAGAATGTGACACTGCACTTGATGTTTTCGAAGTTTAGGTTGGAGATGTAATGTCGAAAGATGAGTGATTTTGTGTCTTCAAAATGATGGAGAAGATAAGTGAATGAAGTCACGAAAAGACTGAGGAAGAGTGAATGAGATGTATGGGAAGGTAGGCTCCCCCTGTTCCAGAGACTAACGATCAACCGAAGGAAGCTGAGAAGTGAGGGTGCTGTTGCCCGAGTCTGAATGACGAAGGCTGCCCTTGTATTGGTAGATCGAAAATCACGTCACGAGGTCGAAAGTTGGAAGAGTCTGAGAGAAGGCAAAAAGTCCTGCTTTCCCATCTAATACCTTGAGTCCCCCATGACTAAATCAGGCAATCGAGAAGGAGCTGTAGGCGGAATATTGATATCGAGGGCAAGTATGATGGTATCTGAATGAAGGCAAGAGTGACATTTAAAGGCCTAGTAGATTTAGATGCAGCTATGAGAAGATAGATTCCAGTAAGCAGACGATCTAGGAAGGTCTGCCGACTTGTGTCATTATCGAATCTTCCTGAAGTGGCGTAGAGGCTGTCGAGTCCAGGGCATTTCCTTGGCCTGGCTGGCAAGAACTACGGGAAAGGCAGAAATCGCAATTGAGAAGCAGGATGGCCTCGACAAGGAAGCTGCTATTCATTAAAAGCTGACATGCATCTCAAATCTTTGAGTGGGAAGAAGGGAGAGTAAGGTACGTGAGCATGTAGTTGACAAAGCGATGGAGGGAGTACGTACGATGCATTCATCATCCCTCATTTCATCAGCTAACCAGGAAATGAATCTCTGCTTATGATATAAATACATGGCTCGGACCCAGTAGATAATATTAGTAGCAGAATGTCTTCTCAATTGTCTTTCAAGATCAATGTCCCTTTTCATCCACAAGCAGTGACAAAGCACTGGATATTGGAGAGCATCGTGTGTGGAGTTTCAAGTCTGGATGTTGATTGTGCACGGGTCACTTGTCGATCTGCAGGGGGGGGGGTCTTGTGTAAAAGGTCGTCGCGACACGCCTGGCCAGTACTTTAGTAGACGCGCCGCCCCTCAGTCTGCTGTGTAGAGATCGGCCTGAGCTCGTTCAAGTATGCGCTCCAAAGCACAGTAGTCATAAATTGACGCCTCCTTCTTCCTCAATGATACATCTTTTGTACACGACAAATCTGAGGGTTTCATTTGCCCTTGCGAATTCTTCCTAGTCCGCAGTCATGACCAGTGAGTCCAGTCGCAGAACCCCACCAACGAGCGATACTGACCTTCAACAGCACGAGGGGAGCGCATGCAACAGCGCATGCGAGGAGCTGGGTGAGCGATTCCGGCCCCATAAATGCTTCTTGTCTAATCAAAACGTGAAGACATGGCCAGATTGAGGACGTTTCATTCCAATTGGACTTTGGCGATGACCTCACAACCGACATCGAAGCACAAACTAGCCCCGAGAGGCCGCCGCCTCGACCGACACCGACCCCGAATACATCTGCCAAGCGGCGCAGATTAGACAGCGAAACAGCGCGGCCTGGCATCACCGAGGCGAACAATGTGAGCCAGATGCAGAAATCGCCGGGAAAACCCGATGTCTACGAACTCCAAGAAGAAACCTCTACCGAATCCGCCCAAGCCGCGGTTCCGCAACCCGCAGCGAGTCCCGATGCCGTTGTCGAAGCTGGCGACCCGGACTCGGTCAAGTCTCTACCACCACCACGACGCGCTCCATCAGCGTCGTTTGTTTCACCAGTATCGAGGAGGATGACAGCAGATAACACCGAGGTGGAGGAGAGTCCTGCGGATGCGCCGGGCAGTGGGAGACGACGGAGGATCACAACAAGCAGTGCCGTCGCGTCGAGCGCAAGACTACAAGAAGCTCTATCCCCGGGAGAAAACGCGACAGAGACGGTTCCAATATCGTCTCCTTTGGAGCGCAAAGTGCGGCGGAACACGACCAGCACTCGGAGGTCCACACTCAGCTCTCGTGGGAGTCGTAATTCGGCCGCATCTGCCAACGAGGACCTGGACGAGCTCTCCCCGGACCGGACAGCAAACTCTGTCGATCGGACGAGGTCTCCTGAGCTTTCTTATCATGCGGAAGCAGAGCCAGAGGAAGTGGTAGATGAAGCATCAGAAGTACCTGCCGACGTATCAGAACGAGCAACAGCGAACAACTCTCAAACCGAGTCGATACTAGGACCGGAGCTGGACGCGATCGTTGACGAAGTGCTACAGCAGGAACAGGATCATGATGAAAGCTTGGCAGAGGAAGTGGGCGCGAAAGAAGCAGCTCAACAACTGGGTCGAAAACGACCACGCACGAGTCCACGAAGATCATCCCCGGAACCAGATTCTACGATAGCTGAAGAGGAGCAAGAACAACCCATACCGAAGAGGCGAAGGAAACAAGCTCAAAAGAGCCCAGCGAAGCAGAAGCAAGGCAGACCGAAGGCGGCCTCCAAAGGCAAGGCGGCTTCTACAGCGAACGACGCCTCACCCAAAACTGCACAGAAGCGCAGGAAGAAGTCTGGATCAGATGGGGTCGATGAGGCTGTATCCATCCCCGTGCAGCGCTTCACAAAACGTGTGCAAGTGGCTGAAGGCGGCGACGACGAAGCAGATGTGCTCGCTATGGATATCCCTTTCGCCGGGCGCGGCGGTGTGAACACGGTCGACGTGTTGACCCATATGTGCGACGAGATTATCGACACTAGCATAGAAACTCTGAAGGAGGGAGTACGTAATGCCCAAGATGCATCCACCAAGAGGGAGCATCGCGTGCAGCAACGGGCCCTGGAGGCGTATCAGGACGAGTTGAGGACGCGGCTCCTCCAACATGTGGGTAGATCCGCATCCCGAGGCAAGGTGGTTGCCACCGTACCGTGCTGACTCAAAAAATTCAGACCATTCTCCTCGACACGCTCCACAGCTTGCGCAAGCGAGTACGCAGTGTCCAGAAAGAGAGGATCACTCTTCGGGACGAAATTATGCGCATCCGAGCCGAGCGAGACCAGGTGGCGCTCCGGAAAGATGCCGTCAGGATTAAGCACGAGAGGGTGACGGAAGAAGCACTGGTAATGTCACACCCTCACCCTGCCCAAAAGGCGACACCACACACCTTAACTCAGCCTTATGAGCTCTTTCTAACTGCCCTTTGTATTGTGTGTGCCCACAGAACCAATTGAGCTTATCTTCGCAGATGCATGACATTGACATGGCCGTGGAGCGCGGTCGCGCGGCCCCCGAGTTGAGCCCGGCTGAGAAGAAGACGGCAGAGTTGGCGAACCTCGAGATTTTGATATCTAGAATTACGGATCAGGCCTGTACGCGCAGCGACACGGGGGGCACGCTGAAGCAGGTGAAGGATTTCAACGCGTTTCTCGAACGAGCTGCCGTAGCCCTAGAGGGTCGATAGACGAGACGCAACAGAGAGACCGGAAGAGAGGCAACAAATGGCCAAAGCGATGGCAATGTGGTGTATTTGCCCACGTCATATCTGATCTTCACGACGAGTTGGCGTTCATGTACGATGCTTGGGGCAAGCAAAGCTTGGGCTTTTGGGGGGAAGATGCAAGGAGGGGAGGGGTTCGACGGGTGGCCTTTGCCGGGGATACCCAGGAGATTCGGCTTTCGGCTCCCCTCCCCTCTTCCCAATCGATGACTATGATAATTCAGGCCAAAAAGCCAAAAGAAGGAAAGCAGCTGCTTCAGCTTCCAGCCCTTTACGGGGGTTTTACCAATAGGCGGGCGTTGACTTATTTTACCGCGCCGTTCTGGTGTAAACTCTATTCCCCAATAACACGACGGCCCAAAGAGGGAAAAAGCTGTCTTACTTGGGAGCTGTGTAGAGCGCCATTTACTTTTGAATTGAAGACGAAACTCAGCGCCAGAGCAAATCTAAACTATCCCAAAGAAAATCGACGAGAGTCTGGACCCTTTCCCTGACCTTTTCCAAATCCGAGAAGAACTTTTTTTTCTCTTTGGAAGTGACACTATTTTTGGTCTTGTTGGTCTCCATTCCCCCATTTTGACGTCACTAAGCCTTATTCGAGTATGACTATGCGCCCTCCCCCATCCTCGTCCCAAACTATCAGATCAGACCTCTCTTTCTTCTGTACTCTTCTAAATTACCCTGCAATGCAAGAGACAGTTGAGCCTAAGCCATCGTTGACATCCGTCATTCTACCCCATATAGTACCGTCGAATACCACCGTAACTGGCTGGGGATCCATGGAAATCGGGGTGGCCGTGTTGTCACTTTTGGTAGGTGTCCCGGGTCCGTGTTTTTTTTTTTTTTTTTTGTTCCCACTCTCCGCAATGTGGCGGTCGGCCACCCGGTAACTTCCACCCTGTTAATGGACCGTGAGGTAACTGCGCAAGTGTGGTGGTAAGGTTGAGCTTCCCGTGCTGCCCAGTGTGCCCGTGTCATGACATCCCATCACGGAAGTACGGCACTTTTTCCACCCTGTCTTGCCTGTCCCCCATTCGTTTCCTGCAAAGTTCCTACAATCTAATTCCCGGCCTGCCCTACGTGCATCACACGCCCCCCCTTCCTACTTCTCTCTCCCCTTCGCTGTTACTCTGCCCCCCTCCAAGCCCCTGGACCCTGTGCTTCGCCCGACAACGAAGCCACAGAGGAGAGACGAAAAAACTGGGCTTTGGCCAAGGCGTGTGGGCGAATGATTGGATGTTTTGATCATACTTTGCCGCTTTTGCATCCGATATGAGAGAGAGAGAGAGAGAGAGAGAGCTGCGCTTATTTGGGGGGCCCAGTGGAGGGAGTGCGAAAACCGGGAAAGGCCACCTCAGGACTCAGGAGGGGAGAGGGGTGTGTGTGACTGAACCGAGTGAGTTGGTCTGGTTTGAACAGGATAGGATACCTAGGATAGGATAGGCCAGGATAGGTCACCCCGACGAGGTTTAGGGATCCTCGGCCACCGACCGCTTCAGCTGGGCTCATTGGGTCATTGGGGGAACGAGGGGGAGGAGGGCGCCGAGTTCTCCTGGTTGCTGAGGTGTGCTGCTTTGACTAGCTACGTAAGTAAGGTAAGGTATGATGGTGAGCGAGTACATAAAGCGGGAGGGGGAAGCTTCTCCTGGCCCTTCTTTCTCTTGACCCAGTTGTTAATTCAAACCACCATCACCATCACCATATAGAAGTTCTCGCGTCTTTTTAGGCCCGTACATACAACCTACCACCTCTCTTTCCACCACCAAAAACAAACCAACCGTCAACATGCCCGCTCCCGAGGCTCCCCAGCAGCAGGCCCCCATGGAGGTCCCCGTTGAGAACGGCATCGTCACTCAGCAGCCCGTAAGATTCCTTCCACTTCCCATACCACTCACATCTCCATGTGCTGACAATGAGAAAGTCCGCCGAGCCCCAGCCCGAGATGGGTCTCCGCGGTGGTGAGGAGGCCGGCTGCGAGCTCTGCTGCGGCCTCTGCGGCTGCGAGGAGTCTTGCTGCTAAGCAATCCATTCCACGATTGACGGGAAGATGACAGTGGAGGAAATGAAACTTTAGGGAAGAGCCTGAGGGCACCCTTTTCCGGCGTTTAGGGGCGATTACCACCATCACCTACCTACCGATTCTAGGAGGGGAAGGGGAATGACTTGGGACTTTTGGACTGAATTACATATATCACCGATAAACAATCGAATATATTACAACTTCACAACACATTCTAAACTTTCAATTGTGACTAATAAGCCAAGCAATGTCGTTGAAGAATAGAGGCTCAAAAAAAGTCTTGAGTGATGCGAGGCGGCGGTCCCTGGGCTGCCAAGCTTTCAAGTGCGCGGGTAGATCTCTTGGGAGTCTTGGCACGCCTTAGCGAGGTGCTTGGAGGGCTGAGTGGCAGCAGTGTGCGAAAGGGGGGGGGGGGGGGTTCGGGTACGTCAGCGAGGGAAGGGCGCTGCAGAAGTCGACCTACCCGTTACCCGCAAACCGAGACATTTTTTTTGCCAGCTGTTGCAGCTCTGCTGGTCACTGCGCCATGCTGTCAACGCCTCATCTTCTCCCCGCCATTGGATTGTCCTGCATCACCGCCTTTTTCTAAACTCATTGAATCTCCGTGGAAGAATCATTCTAGGTAGGTGGAATGGAAGGAATCACCTTTCAGGGCCTCCCAGCGTCGTCATTCGTGCCAACGACCGTGCAGCGAGGCACCACGTACTCAGGAGAAATGACGATGGACCTCCCGAGTCCCGTCTTCTTCCCGTCGGTTCCGCGAAGCATGCCCCCAACCCCCGTGTTCTCTTTCCTCGATACCTCAGCCGATGCACCCTTGACGTGTTCACGAGCCCATTCCTGTCATGGTTTCAGACTTTGCAGGTTGCTGAGTGATTTGGTGCGATTTTCCCGATCACTACCTACTCTTTTCCGCCATTTGCTAGTCTGACTTCAGGTGAAACGCGAACTCTACCTTATTCTGTTGGAAATCCATGAAGTCCCCCTCACCCGTACCCTATCCCCTGCCAACTCACCTCCCTCCCCAACTGCCGCGGACTGCGGACCGGAAGCTGAACCCCTGGCTCTTTTTTTTTTCTCCCTCTCTGAACACTAGATGGGATGAGAGTTTCATGGCTGACGCTGACCCTTGCTGAGGGAATTACGGGGGAAGAGGAGGAGGAGGAGGCCGCCTCGGTGAAGTTTTGAGGTTAATACCTACTGTTCCTGAGGTATTGCCGTGTCGTTTTCGTGTCGGTGTGAGGTTGATCAAAATCACGTCACAATTCCAGCTCCCATTCTTCTGCTTGGCATTTACAGCTTTGCCATGTCAATATTGACGTTGAGTAACGCTCCAGGACATGACACAGAGTGTGTGCGTTGGGCGACGAAATTGGAGAGAGAATTGAGCCAATCTCAGGGCAGGCTCTTCTTGTGCATTTTTGAATGCATACTTGTACAGAGTAGTCTACAGTCGCTTTTACAAAGGCTGACATCGTGATATGCAACGCCCGCGGGCGCCTGAACCACTTGGCGAAACCCATTGCCTCAACTTGCATCATCTCACAGGGCTTGTCTTACAGATGACTTCTGTTGCAGAAAGCCCGAGACAACCATCACCTCAGACCACAAGGTCTTTTTCACTTTCCACCGCCAAACGTCCCCGAGATACGATCCACAATCGTAGCCTTGCCCTCGGCCTTGCGCCTCTCCTTCTCCTTCTCCTGCTCGTCCCACAGCTTCTGCACGTTCTTGGCCACCTCGACGTTGGCCTGGAAATCCGCCCGCAGCGCCGCCTCCTCGGCCGCCCTCTCCGACTCGGGCAGCTGCTCCAGCTTCTCCTTCCACGAGGTCTCCAGGTCCGGCCTCGGCGTGTGCGCCGTGGCTGCGGCCGGTGCGGCGACGGGTATCGTGAAATCGAACTTGGGCACAGGGAGCCCATCCTTCTTGGCGGCCTCCACGGCCTCTTCCTGCTCAATCATGCGCCCGTAGAGCTGGTCTGCGTGCATCTGAATGTCTTCTTCCACTTGGGCTGAGCGGCCGTTGATGGATTGGTAGCCTAGAGCTTTGAGGAATCTCTGTTTGGAAGTAGTGTTAGTATCATGTGATCAAGAACTTCCCCTGCCGAGGTGAATTGAAGATGGTTCAAGGGGGATATCCGTACCGTCTGCATGGTATAACACCTCTCAAACTTTTGCACCTGACGCCTGCACATCTGCATCCTGTCCTCCCAGTCGCCGCTCTTCATGCAGTTCACCCACTCCTCCTGCTGAATGGCGCAGTTCTCGAGCGCCGCCCTGCCAATGTTGTGCTTCCTCTGCTTGAAACCGTCCAGCACGTCCATAAGCTTCTCGTGGTCCGTCTTCGTCTCGGCCTCGATCTCGGCGTAGGGCCGGTACGTCTTCCACAGGTGCGCGTACCGTCCGTCCTGGAAGAGGCTCTCTTTCGGCACAATTGGTCGTTCTGCGGCGGCGGCGGCAGCATCTTGTGACTGTGATTGTGACTGGGCGTGTGCCTGTGCGTTTGCTTCTGCCGCTAGTGCTGCTTGCGCGGCGATTCGTATGGCCTTTTTCTCGGCGTCTTGGACCTGCTGCTGCTGCTGGATCTTGACGGGGGATTCGCGCTCGAGGTATTCGCGGAGCTTGGGGTCGAGGGACTTGAGAGGGTCGTCGGACGAGGCGCTGGGGCCGAACCAGCCGTCAAACCAACCCATTGCGACAGACAGACTCGAGGATAAACGGAGAAAGTCTTTGGGAGAAACAAAGAGCTTTCACCTGGACGAGTTTGGAAAGGATTGAGAAGCTTAGGGACTTTCCGGCTTGTCGCAAACTGGAAGCTCTGGGAGAATTTCGAGGTGGATGGCCTTCGTCCAATCAAATGGCTGAAAAGACAAGGAAACAGCTGTGCATACTGGAGACTGCGCACTGTATCTGGCACTGTTACATCAAGGTCACTCCAATTAGGCTGTTTTTCAGTACGTTTGATGACCTTCAAGTCTGTAAGTGCGTCTCCCTAGCTACCTATTTGGCATTACTCCGTAAATCAAATGTGCTGGTGCTATTTTCGATTTGGGCTTGTTTTGCTATCATTACCGAGCTGGGGCTTCCATTTGCATAGCTACAGTATCTTGCCATTGAGGCATCTATTTACCATGACAGCTCTCCACGTCTTGGTCCGAAAGACCGTCGTTATGAGGGATGTAGTGATAGGGTCGGATGGGGCACAGGAACAGCATGTCACTGGATCACCGAGGAGTCTACAGTGGCACAGTCAACCCATCCTAATCATTTTTTCGTTCATTTGACCCGAGGCGTATCGCAGTTTTCCGTTCCCGCAAAAATCACAAGCCCCTCGTGTGCCCAAGACAGCCAGAGAAGGATGTCTAGATCACAACCACGTGGCTTGGCTGATCGAATTCATTTTGGTCTCTAATTCTGCATCTATAACACAATCATGTGGATGCAGTTTCCCTGATGACCTCCCATCCGGTATGTAATGAAGAACCCACACCGCAGTCACGCCGTAAATGCCAATGAGCCGATTTAGAACTTGCTGAAGGACTTGACAGCCTTGCCGGTGCGGGGAAGGACGCGCAGGACGTTGAAGCGGACCTGGAGCCGGTTGTGTTAGCAAAACAGATTTTTGATTGAGAGAGAACGAGCCCTGGGATCAGGCGTCGATCGTGGATATCGCGTCGCAAACGTACAGTCTTGCTGAGGGGTCTGCACTGGCCAACGGTGACCTGGTCACCCTCCTCGACACGGAAAGCGGGGGAAACGTGGGCGGCGAGGTTCTTGTGGCGCTTCTCGTAACGGGCGTACTTGGGGATGTAGTGAAGGTATTCTCTGCGGATGATGAGGGTGCGGTGCATCTTGGTGGAAACGACGGTGCCGGTAAGGATACGACCGCGGATAGAGACCTGGCCGGTGAAGGGGCACTTCTTGTCTGGAGGGGTCCAACGTTAGCATCTCAGTCCCTTGGTTCGTCTCTGTGTTGTTTCCCAGCGCGCGTTGCAACAGTCCCCCGTCGTGTGCCGTGCATTTCCTCCTCTTGTTCTCCAGTTCCGATCCTCTTCTGCCATCGTTTTTGCAGTCCTCCATTCGTGTCGCAAAGTTTCGTCGAAATAAAATTGTCGTGGCCGTCGCGCGCGCATGGGATTTCCAACACTTCAATCGATCTCGCTCGCAAACGTACCGATGTAGGAGCCCTCAATGGCAGTGGCGGGGGTACGGAAACCCAGACCAACGTCCTTGTACCATCTGCGGCCGCTCTTGCCGGGGCGAGCAGACTTCGCCTTGGTCTTCTGGTTAAGGAAGATACCCTTCTGCTTCTGGAAAGCCCTCTCGGACTGGACGGTCAACTCGGTAGCCATCTTGACGTCGTGGTGCGGTCGACTGGGCGGGGGTGGGTGCTGTTGAGGGTTAGGAAGTCGTTGATGCTGAGCCGCAACTTTTCACCAGAGTCTGCAAAATCGGGGGTGAGAGAACGTGAGGGTCGGGCCTGCCCTGAAATTGTCATTAGGGCTGTGGACATGAAAAAATTAGCGAGGCGCCAGCCCCACCAGTGTTCAGCCACCTTCAACATCGCAGCCACAGCTGGAATCTCAGCCACTCTTGGACTAAGTCAGCCACAGCTGACAAAGACTCACAGATTCTGCACCCTGGCACGCCTGGTCGCAAAGGTGGTCCATGCGGTGACAGCGGTCTTCGGCGCTACCACAGCAACAAAATCGCGTCTATTGACATCACTCTCTGCAGGCCAATCAGAACCCTGGTGGGCAGTAAACAAGACCCATGACAGCCCACCACCCTGCTTTCGAGGGAACATACCTAGATCCTTTGGGCACATTCACGCCACTACCGGTTCCAGTCGCGTAGCTCTCCCCAAGTTTAAGAGGTGACATGTGCTCGCTTCTTTCTTTGACCTGAAGCCTGATAGCAGCACATCGCCACCACCAGCACCGACTTTCAATATGGCTTCATTCGGCGATGCGACACTCCCCTCTACGCGCCGGACACGCAAGTCCATCGGCGCGACCACATCGTCGAGAAAGAATGGCGACAAGGAGAATGCGACCATCGATGTCGGAAGTAGCCTTGCAGAGAGCAGGAAGAAATCGCGTAGCAAGAGCATTGGCCCTGGAGGTCTTGACGCCCTGAAAAGTGCAAATGGGAACCGCAGAGCTGTAAACAGTGTCATCCTGACCATCGTCGTCTCACGCGACTAACATGTGTACCTTAGTCTTTAGCTGTGCCTTCACGGCCTCCGCCACGATCTATCTTGAAGCCTACAATGCCCTTACTACCCGAGATTCCACCACATCGAAAGCGCGCATCCGACCTCATCGATCTTGGTCCGCCGCGGTCAAGCACCCCAACAACTACAGGCAGTACCGACCCTACAGGCTCAGGCTCCAAGATTGCCTTGCGCACCGAGGAAGAGCAGCAACAAGCAGCTAAGGAGCGCGAGCGCAGAGATGCAAGGCGTAAGTCTCTCGCAAATCGCAGAGTATCTTTTGCCGCGGAGGCAACCCTTCACACTTTCCATGAAATCGATATCATGCAAGACCCGAATACATCAACAAACAAGTCGCGCCGCAGATCCTCTACCTCAGCCCCCCAAAATGAAGAGCCGACGGAGCGGCCATCAACCCCGCCAGAGCAGGATGAAGATATCGTACCTCAGTCGCCCGACAACCAGAGAGAACTGCATCAGAAAAAGCGCAGGAGGAGCTCCACCACTCCGCTCATGGAGTTTTCCGATGAGGAGCAAGACACCATGGCCACAGGTTTCAGCTCCGACTCCGAGCCAGCGGATGCCGTCGAGGAAGTTGCAGATGAAGAGGAGGAGGAAGCGTCTGATTCGAATAGCGATTCCGACGATGATGATGGCACAATGATGACCGTCGACGACCACGAAGTTACCAGCGCCTCAGTCATGTCCAGCCGGACAACAGCATCGGATGATGATAATGACAGTCTAGATGAGGCACTCCGCACAGCTGCTCGGCAGGCTGGCACACAAAGGCTTGGTTTCGATGATAGTGATGACGAAGAAGTCATTCCCTCCTTTGGTTGGATCAAGAAGAACAAGCCTGAAGATGAGGCACCGCAAGATCAAGAGAACACAGCCCCTCCCCCGCCCGTCCACAATAGTCCGCCCCAGGATGAGGATGGAGATGACCTGGACATGGATATGGATATGGAAATGGATATGACTGCTGCTGTTGGAGGCATCCTCGGTAAAGGAGCCGGCGACATCGAACCAGACGAAGAGATGTCCATGGATGTTACCAGAGTACTCGGCGGCATTCTCTCTCGAAATACCAAAACACCCGCCGAAAATGACGTGGAGGACCAGACCATGGAGTTCACCACAGCCGTCGGTGCCATTCGCAATTCCAACGCCGATGATGACCTTTTCGACGACACTGGGGTGGAAAACGAGGATATGTCTATGGAATTTACGAGTGCCATTGGCGGTCTTCTGCCGTCACATCCCAAGAACGATGCCACTCAGAAGCGCCGTAGGACAATGACGTCCCGCGAGAACCCAGAGGAGGCAACGATGGACATGGATATGACTGTCGGTGTTGGTCGCATACTGCCAGTGGCGGACGCGACTATCCACGGAGGAGACGCGACGATGGGCATGGACATGACTATCCCGGTCGGCCGCATCCTGTCTTCACAGGACGACACGTTGAACGTGCTGACGACGCCAATGGACATGACGCTCCCCGTTGGCCGTATACTGCCCTCTTCCCAAGTGTCCGACCAAGACGAAGCAACTATGGGCATGGACATGACAATGGCGATCGGAGGCATCATTCAACCATCCCAACCTCCAGAGTCTCGCCTCGCCGCTAAGAAACTCATGGAAGCGGAAGTGGATAAGCCAGACACCCCTACCAAGTCCATGTCCGCAAAGCCTGCATCACCTGCCAAGAAGCTGGCTGCCTCGGCCAAGAGACACTCAGTTGCAGGATCAGAAAATGCGAGCAGTCCTTTGTTTAACCCTTTCCAAGGCAAGGGTTTCCGTCAGAGCATGCCGGGTGCAGGCTCCATGTCAGAATCACCGGCTAGAACCAGACCTAGAACCAGAACACCCAGCCCGCCAAAGTCTGTCGCTCCGTCACACGCCGCTGCTGGAACACCGCTCGACAGTTCTCCAGTTAAGACGCCCCAATCGGTAAAGAAGCCTGCTCGCTCAAAGTCAAAATCTCCAACTAGAAAGCCTGCAACTCCTTCTCCTGAGAAGACCGCTACTCGGTTGAATATCTTCCAGCAAGATCCAGCCACCGGCGCGAGGACGCCAACCTTTGTTCTGACACCGCAAACCCGAAGGCATTCTGGCATCGGCGCGGACAAGCCGGGCCTTGGGTCACCCCGTGTTGCTGCGCTCCTTGACCGAAGAGGATCTCTCGGTGAGACGGTTCAGGAGTTCATTCCCGGTAAAGTTCGCGGTGTAGCCTTTGCTAAACCACAAATCATTGAGGATGAAGTCGATAGGGCCCGCCAAGAGGAGGAAGACAAAGAGAACAGCAGGAAAATTCTTGAGCGTGAAGCGGATGGTGGCGAGAACGAAAAGGACGCGACCTTGAACCTGAGGGAGATGATTGAAAGCTTGAGCCCTCAGAAGAAGCGCCTGCAAAGCCGAAAAAGTCTTCACGTCGGAAGCGCACGAGGACTACTTGGCAAGCGGCCCGCCGAG